GCTTGGCCTGCTGTGTTCATCCAGCTCTACACCTTGTTATCTCAGTCCTGAGAGATGACTCCCCCCAGCTATTCCTATCATCAGATTGTTAAAACCTCTTTACATTTTTAAAGTAAACACCACCCAAACCCTGCACCCCCACCTCTACCATGATAACAGGCGGGTATCATGTTAATTGGCCTGATCTGATAGTGTATTCAGGGGTCAGCATTCAGATCTAGGGTAGGGTGGAGGTGGGGCTGCACATATATGTGCTGGTTTTGGGTGCGGTCCCTCTACAAACAGTTCAACAGCAGCCACAGAGGATACTGAGTGTCAAGGCAGGCTGATTAAAATGCCTGTCTCAACCCCCTGGGACTGATCCCAAATGTTTTGTTCATTATTAGGCCCTTTAGCCCTCATCACACATCCTTCCTCCTCTTCTGCGCACTCCATATGTCCCATGAGGTTAGCTCATTGCCACCCCATGCTTCCACCAGTCCTCAGTAGCATCTTATACCCTCTTTGCCAACTTGCCAACCTACCCCAATCCCCAATGGTCCCGCATACCTTCCATGACAGCTCATGGCACTTCCATGCCCATTCATGCAGTTTACACACTGTACAGAACCAATGAACCCTGAGTAAAAATGGTGCATATGAAAAAACCTTTAAAACCCTTCCTTTCATGACTTTCGTTAAAAAATCAGCTGTGAGTGCAATTCTAATAAGAATGCTAATCAACCAGATATTTAAAGTAAACATGGCAGAAATGATTTGATATCTTTTTATCTTGTACAAAAAAATGGTGGCTTTTCCTCCATCTATTTTTGTCAATGCCATCAATCAAGCAACATTTTGCTTGTATCCACCTTGTATCACAATAAATTAAAATCTCGGATCTCAACCAAACAAACATAATCAGGCTTGGTCCAGAGGCCAGACTTCCATTTGTTTATTGAAACAGGTGCACTCAAGGGAAGACATTGCTTGATTGGTAGCTTTTTGTAACTTAGATCTATTTTGTCACTGGCTTAATTTTTTATTTACACAAGATAAAGAGATGTCAAATATTTAAAAGTTTCTGCTTTTGACGTTTGGTTGTCATGGAGAATATGCGAGGCCATTGAGTTTGCAAAGAGGGCATGGGTATGGCCTTTTAAATTACGCAGACTTTGATTCAGTATGGTTCTGAGGGCACTGAACCATAAGCCCTTGAGAAGCTGGTCTGATTCCATGAGTCAGAAGCATAGGAAATGCCCAATTCTACAATGAGCCAGCCAGGTAAGGAATACATGGTACAGATTCACTGCCAACCCCTTTCTCCTGTGCTAGTAAAAATTGGGTGTGATGTGAATGGGGGCAGGAATCCCAGAATTGGTCCTGCCTGCCATTTTCAAAAGCCTGCAGAGTTTCTGTGGCTCCACAAGAAAACCCAAACAACATTTCTGGTTGTTGATCTTTTACCAGAACTGGGAAAGTTAGAGATATAATAGGTTTTGAGCAAGGTGTGGGTGTGGCAAGGACATATGGAAGGTCTGTGGTTGTGTGCAAGGAAGGAAAGATTGAGTGACAGAAGAATCAGAGTTACAGAGTCAAAGTAAATGATGATGGAACAAGAAAAGAAACAGAAATTACAGACTGATATTGTTGAACCCCATGTTGAATTCTGAAGTGTATAATGTGCCCTAAAAGGTGAGGTGCTGACAAGCTTGAGGAACTACGCCTCATCATTTGATTAGGCACTTTTCAGCATTTCAGACTTAACATGGGTCCAATCTGGTTATACAGTGAGTATATTGACTTCAATGCAGAGTCACAGGATAGAAGCTGTTACTACTCTGTTGGTGTTGTACAAATGGAGGGCAGTTTGCTACTATCAATTCCATCCAAACTCATAGGTGCTTCTCTCTTCTCTGCCTGGCATCCATTGGAACTGAGTCGAAGGCCGATCTTTGAGGGCACCAGGCCATGACTGGTATCAGAGTGAGAGAGGGTGCAGTAGTCATCGCTGTAGTTGTATTCACCATTTGGATCTTGGGGCATCATGGACAACAAGGTGGCATTAGCCAGGTCCTCAAACAGCAACCAACTTTCAACCTGCTGACCCTCAGCAGGTAGAATGGATTGGCTTCCACTCAAACCACAAATGCTATTGCTATAATCTAGCACTGACTTGGAATAAAACCTATTCCTTGGATCAATGAGACATTTCTTTTTAACATACATGGAATCTGCATCATAGTTGTGTTTGGGGCTGTTTGGATTAAGTGGCAATGTGTAGTGTATTGGAATAGGTTTTAGGTAGGTAATGTTAGAAACAGCTTCAATCTTGGGAGTTACAATCACTGCATCAGCTTCATCTTCCAGGGATCTCTTCATCTTCATCATCCCATGGACTGAGCTACTGCCAGGCCTTTTCTGAATGGTTGGTTGGTCTTTGTGGACCCATTCCTAAAAGACATAGTCATAATTAGACAGAATTTCTACACCTAAGCTATGTTACAATACTTTATAGGCCTTTTCTTCATTTTTTACCCGTTATTGTAGCTATTAAGTAACAATAGTTGGTTGATCCTAGGCTTTCCATACTATGGGAAAATTGCTGCTTATTGTGTGATTAAAGTGTATTATATTATTATTTCAAAATTGGTACTTTAAAAATAAAGAAAGATGAGCTTTAGTTTTAGTTTTGTGAAGGTAATTCTTTTAAAAATAGATCAGCATTCAGTTTGCAAAAGTAGTCTAAATATATAATTTCTAAGAAAATATGTGATTAGTAAGTGACAATCAGATACCTGTGGTGTTAACTGATGAAGTGGTTACATCGTATAACACAACATTTTTTAAAAAAAGACAAGTGACTGGGGGAACTGGTAGTTTAGTTTGAGATTAGTTCTGAAGAATCAAGTTTCAGTTTTGTGCTAGCAGGAGAACAATTTCATCTCAGTGGAAGAATGTTTTCAGTTCAAAAGAGTTGTTTCATTCTAGCCACAGGGCAGTTTGCTAGGTCTGTGGAGACTTAGTTTGTAATAGGTTTTAGAAATCTTTATTAGTCAAAACTAAATGGAGGTTCAGTCCATTAAAATTGGAACAAAGCCTTAAAAATGTTTCAACAATCCGAGAAGGAAATCTGGAGGAAGTCAGTTAAGTAAGAAATTAAAGAATTGAGATAGGAGTGATATTTCTCTGGGCTTGAGTACCTGAGAAATATGTTGTTGAGAAGCAGTTTATAGGAACATAGGAGCAGGAGTAGGCCTTTCAGCCCTTGAGCCTATTCCACCATTCAATGAGATCTTGGTCGATGTGTGGCCTAACATTGTATACATGCGTTTGACCCATTTCCCTTAATACCTTTGCTTAATAGTTTAAAACTTTGTTTTACAGAGGAAAAATACTATGGATGCTTGCAATCTGAATCAAACAGAGAAAATACTGGAGAAACTCAGTAAGTCTGGCAGCATTTGTGGAGAGAGAAACAGAGTTAACATTTTGAATCAGTTCTTAACCCAGGCTCGAAACATTAATTCTGCTTCTCTCTCCACATGATGCCGGACCTACTGAGTTTCTCCAGTAATCTCTGTGTTTGTTTGAAACTTTGCTTGGATGTCTATGTAAAAATCTTTCCAAACTGTCATATATACAGCTTTGATAGACAAACAAGAGGCTGGAAGAACACAACAGGCCAGGCAGCATCTGGAGGAAAGGAGCTGTCAATGTTTCAGGTATTATCCTTCTTCAGGACTGTCTCTTTTGTCTCTTTCTTGTTTCTAATATATACAGCTTTATTTTGTTTTTCTTTTGTGTAATAAACTTGTGCTTTTTTGTTGAAAAGTATTGGCAGCCTCATTGAATATTTTAATGATGAACTATCACTGTGATCTAGTGCAGAAATTAAACTTATTATTTATCCAGGTGGATTTCACTCCAGAATCTGATTTATCTAGTGTTACCATCAATTGGGATCATATTCCTGTGCCCACCACTGCTCTGCCCCTGTAATGATAGAAATCAGGATTTCTTTGTTTGTGTGAACTGATGAACAGCTGCACAATTATGTAGCACCAGGATACCAAAGTTCTACTCTGCACTTATAGTTGGTCGGAGCTTAACTACCTGTTCGAGTTTAACTATCTCTCTCAGATCCGCAATATTCTCACTGTTCTAAATTTTAAAATCATCTTTGTTTCTGAAACTCTCAATGGCTTCTTTTTTCGTTATCACTATTACTTCCTTCTCCCCGACAACTCTCTGAGATGCCTGCACTTCTCCAGTTCTGCCCTCTCCCAATCTTCTTCAATCCACAACTGGCTGTACATTTAGCTGCCCTTACCCTAGCCTCTGGAATTTTTAAAACTTCTCTGCTTCTTGGCCCTCCTTTAAAACCTATAGGTCGAATCTTATACAGATTTAGAACGTAGAACATAGAACAGTACAACACAATACAGGCACTTCGGCCCACGATGTTGTGCCGAACTTTTACCCTAATAAATTTGGTATGGGTTAAGGTGATAAATCTGAAAGAATCTTGTTAGAAGGCCTTTCTTGATGTCAGAAGCAACTCGTATTTTCAACAGAGTTTCAGGCATTGAGACAAGGTTCTCAAAGGAACCGTGAGATAGAACATAGAACATAGAACAGTACAGCACAGGAACGGGCCCTTCAGCCCACAGTGTTGTGCCAAACAACATAGTGCTTATTAACAGAGATTATTTCTTTTTAACAGTCTCATTAACACTGATTCCCTGCCTCAATTGTGCGTCAGCCAGAGCCTGAATGCTGACTGTTCTGTCATATTGACTTGCCAGTAAATGTCAATCACACACCTATAGCAAGTGCCAGTGGCCAATGCGACACACACATAGCATGATTTTTGAAGGAAATGGCCATGTCTCGATGTATATGGAGGTGGGGATGTTTTCCTCTATAAGGGGAGGTGATGGCCTACTGGTATTATCACTAGTTTATTAATATAGGAAACTCAGCTAATGTTCTGGGGACAAGGAATCCTGCTACGGCAGATGGTGCAATTTGATTTCAATAATAAATATCTAGAATGAAGAATCTATAGATGACCATGAAACCATTGTAGATTGTCATAAAAATCCATCTGGCTCACTAACATTCTTCAGAGAAGGAAATCTGTCATTATCACCTGTTCTGGCCTACATGTGACTCCAGATCCACAGAAGTATGGTTGACTCTCAGCTGCTCTCAGCAAGCCACTCAGTTGTATCAATCACTATGAAGTCTCAACAATGAAATGAAACCAGACAGACCACATGGCATCGAAAAAGATAATGGCAGAAACAGCCCTGTTGACCCTGCAAAGTCCTCCTTACAAAATCTGGGGTCTAGTGCCAAAACTGGGAGAGCTGTCTCACAGACTAGTCTAGCAATGGTCTGATATAGTCACACGTATGAATCGTACCTTGCAGGCAACACCCAAGTCGCAAGCATTATCATCCCTAGGCATATTCTGTCCCACCTGCAGAGGTAGCAGCTCAGTGGTATACATCCGGGAGGAAGTTGCTTTGGGATTTCCCAACATTGACTCTGGCAATGTACTGCCTTCAGGTTAAACATGGGCGAGGAAACCTCCTGTTGATTCCACATACCATCCTCGCTCGGCTCATGAATCAGTAGTCGTCCATATTGAACAATACTTGGAGGAAGCATTGAGAGTGGCAAGGGTACAAAATATATTCTGGGTGGGGGATTTCAATGTCCACCACCAACAGTCATTTGACAGCAGCAGTACTGATCGAACTGGTTGAGTCCTAAAGGTCATAGTTGCTGGACTGTGTCTTTGGCAGATGTTGAGGAAACCAATAAGAGGGAAAAAATTACTTGACCTCATCGTTACCAATCTGCTGCCTGTATATATATCTGCCTATGACGGCATCGGTAAGAGGGACCACTGCACAGTCCTTGTGGACACAATGTACCACACTTGAGAATACCCTCCTTCATGTTGTGTGGCAGTACCACTGTGCTAAATGGGACAGGCTTTGAACAGATCTAGGAACTCAAGTCTGAGCATCCGTGAGGCGCTGTGGGCCAAAAACAACAGTATAATTGTACTCCAACACAATGTGCAATCTCATGGCCTGGCATATCCCCACTCAGCCATTACCATCAAGCCAGAGGAGCAACACTGGTTCAATGGAGAGTGCAGCAGGGCATGCCAGGAGCAGCATGAAGCATACATGAAAATGAAGTGTCAACCTGGTAAAGCTACCAAACAGGACTACTTGCATGCAAATAGCATGAGCAGCAAGTGATAGACAGAGATAGGTGATCCCAAAACCAACAGATAGATCTAAACTCCACAGTCCTGCCACATTCCGGTTATGAATGGTGGTGGACAATTAAATAACTCACTGGAGGAGGAGGCTAAATGAATATCCCCATCTTCAATGATGGAAGAGCCCAATACATTAGTGCAAAAGATAAGGCTGAAGCATTTACAACAATTTTCAGCCAGAAATGACATTTGGATGATCCATCTCTGTCCCCTTCAGTGGTTCCCAGCATCACTGATACCAGTCTTCAGCCAATTTGATTCATTACACATGATATTAAGAAATGGTTGGAGGCAATGGATACTTCAAAGGCTATGACAAAGGCCCTGACAACATTCCGGTAATAGTACTGAAGACTTGTGCTGCAGAACTTGCTGCTCTCCTAGCCAAGCTCTTCCGGTACAGTTATAACACAGACATCTACCTAAAAATGTTGAAAATGCCCAGATGTGTCCAGAACACAGAAAACAGTACAATTTCAACCTGGCCATTCACCACCCCTTCAGTCTATTCTCAATCGTCAGTAAAGTGATAGAAGGTGTCATCAACAGTGCTATCATGCAGCTCCTGCTCAGCATTAACCTGCTCAGTGACACCCAGTTTGGGTTCCACCAAGGCTGCTCAGCTCATTTAAACCTTGGTTCAAACATCGACCAAAGAACTAAATTCGAGCGGTTGGATGAGAGTGACAGCTCTTGACGTTAAAGCTGCCTTCAATCGAGTGTGGCACCAAGGAGCCGTAGCAAAACTGGAATCAATGGGTATTGGGGACAAATTCTCCAGTGGTTGGCACATAGGAATGTGGTTGTGGTGGTTGGGGGTCAGTCATCTCTGCTGCAAGACATCTCTTCAGGCGTTCTTCAGAGTAGTGTCCTAGATTCAATCATCTTTAACTGATTTATCAATGATCTTTCCTTCATCATAAGGTCGGAAGTGGGGATGTTCACTGATGATTACACAGTGTTCAGCACTGTTCGCGACTGCTCAGATACTGAAGCAGTCCATGTTCAATTGCAACAAGACAATGTCCAGGCTTGAGCTGACAAGTAGCAAGTAACATTCACATCACACAAGTATCAGGCAATGACCATCTCCAATCAGAAACAATCCAATCACCACCCCTTGACATTCAGTGGTGTTACTACCACTGAACCCCTCCTATCAACAGGACTTGCCACATAAAAACAGTGGCTATAAGAGCAGGTCAGAGTTTAGAAATACTGCAGCAAGTAACTGACCTCTTGACTCCCCAAAGCCTGTCCATCATCTGCAAGGCATTAGTCAGGAGTGTGATGGAATACTCCTCACTTGCTTGGATGGGTGCTGCTCCAACAACACTCAAGAAGTCATCCAGGACAAAGCAGCTTGATTGGCATCACATCCACAAGCATCCACTCTCTCCACCACTGACACTCAGTGGCAACAAGATGTAATATCTATAAGATGCTTTGTAGTAATTCACCAAAGATCCTTAGGCACCACCTTCCATATACATGACTACTTCAGTCTCAAAGGACAAGAGCAGCAGATACATGGGAAGACCACCCCTGCATGTTCCCTTCCAAGCCACTCATCATAATGCTTATCAATAGTTGAGTAGCTGCAAGGACAGCACTTTTCAGAATGAGTTCACCCTGCAGCTTAAGGAAGTGTAGACAGAAGATGGGGACCAGGCAGATAGTGAGGGAACCCCTGAGTGCATCTATCTTGCAGTTTATCAGCAATGAAAAATGATGAGAATGACGATTCCTCTGTTGAGGCCAGCTAGAGCAAGACCTTGGTTGTCCAGCATATCGGTGGAAGTGGCAGTGGGGTTGGGAGGGTTAGGTGTAAGAAGTTGGGAAGAGCAATAGTAGTAGGGGATTTGTTTTTGAGGGGCATAGATTCTTTTGGGGCCAGAGATGTGATTCCAGGTCAGATTGTTGCCTCCTGGGTCTCATGGTCAAGGATATTGCAGAACAACTGCAGGCCATTCTGAAGGGGGAGATGTTGTCCATGCTGGGACCAATGACATAGGAAAAAAGTGAAGGAAGTCCTACAAACAGACTTTAGGGAGTTAGGTAGGAAACTGAAAAGCAAGACTTCGAATGGTAATCTCTGGATTACTGAATGTAGGAATGGGAGAATAGAGCAGACGAAGACGTGGCTGAAGGACTGGTGTGGGAAGAAGAGCTTTAGATTCCCGAGGCATTGGCACCATTTCTGGGGAGATGGGATCTTTACAAGTTGAATGGTCATATCTGATAATGTTAGGGACTAACATCCTGGTGGGTGGGTGTTCTAAAGTGGATTGACAGGAGGATGGGATCCTGACAAGTAGTTCAGAAGGGAGAAAGGCGGAGAGGGAATTAGAAATTAAAACACAATTAATTGAGCCTGGAAGACATAAGCTAGATAAGAAAGAAATGGGTTTAACATATTTTAGTGGAAGAAGCCTGAGGAAAAAGAGTCCTAAGTCGAAAGCACAGATAGGTACTTGGGTATATGATATCATAGCTATGACTGAGATGGGCAGTTCAACACTCCTGGCTATAGGGTATTCAGGTGAGACAGATGTGGAGCTTGCAATATTGATCAAGGAATGAATTACAGCAGTGAGGAACCCCTATGGGTAGAAGTAGAAAACACAAAGGGCACAAATACTTTGTTGGTGTGTACTATATGCCCCTAAACAGTCAGGGAGAGATTGTAATCAAACTATAAGAATAATAAGGCAGTAATAGCAGGGGAGCTTAACTATCCAAATATTAACTGGGATAGTTTTAGTGTGCAAAGTAGGAAGGTAAAAAAATCCTTCCATTGTATCCAGGAGAACATTTTCAGCCAATGCATAGAAAGTTCAACAAGGGAGGAGGGTGTGATTCCAGACCGAAGATTCAGGAATGAACCCAAGAAGGTGGAAAGCGTATTACCAGGGAAACATTTTGGAGATGGTGTACATAATTTGGTCAGATTTGGGATAATTATGGACAAGGACAAGGATGGACCAAGAATAAAAGTTCTAAACTGGGGAAAGGCCAATTTTACTACAAGAAGATACAATTTGGCCTGAATGGACTGGGAGCACTTAAAACTATGTCAGAACAGTGGGAGGCATTTGAGGAAAAAACAGGAAGAGTACACGGCAAATATATTCCCATAAAGACAAAAGCTGGGACCAAGACTGGAGAACCCTGAATGTCAAGAACCATGAAAGTTAAGATTAAGGAAAAAAAGAGAAACTCATGGCAGATATCAAGATTTCAACATCACGGAGTCCCTAGACAAGCATAAATCATGCAGTGGGGAACTTAAAAAGGAAATTGTGAAGCAGAGTGCATGAGAAAGCAATTGAAGGTAAGATAAAAGAAAACCCAGAGGGTTTTTAAAAATTATTTAATAAACAGGAGAATAACTAGAGAAAGAGTAGAGTCATAGAGATAATATGTGTCTGGACCTGGAAGAAGTGGACATAGTTCTCAATGAACACTTTGCATCTGTCTTCGCAATGGAAAAGGACGACACAGGAATAGATATCAGTGAGGAGGACTGTGAAATGTTAGAAGAAATTAACACAGAGAAAGAGGAAGTGCCAGCAGCCTTAAAAGTGGGTAAATCTGCAGGCCTGGATGATATGTATCTCAGGCTACTAAGGCAGGCAAGGGATGAGATATCAGGGGCCTAGGCAGCAATTTTCAGTTCCTCTCTGGCTATAGATGAGATGCCAGAAGCCTGGAGGACTACTAACATTGTCTGATTTTTAAAGAAAGGGAGAAAGGGGTTGACCAGGAAATTACAGGTCACTCAGTCTAACCTTGGTGATAGGAACGTAATTGGGAAAGAATTCAGAGGAACAGATATATCCGCACTTGGGGAGACATAGATTAATTAAGAATAGTCAGCTTGAATTTGTCAAAGGATGTCGTGTTTGACAAAATGGATCACTTTTTTTTTGCAGAAGTAACCATGAGTGCCCATGAGGGTAATACATTCGATGTGGTTTACATTGGTCTTTAGCAAGATGTTTGACAAGGTTCCTCATGGCAGACTGGTTGAGAGTTTAAGAGACCATGGGATTCAAGGCAAAGTGGCCCATTGGAACCAAAATTGGCTGGGAGGCAGGAAGCTGAGGGTAATGGTAGAGGGACATTTCTATGACTGGAATTCTGTTTCCTGTGGGGTTCCAAAAGACTCAGTGCTGGTCCCTTACTGTTTGCGGCGTACATTCGTGATTTGGACTTAAAATGTGGAGGTTAGATCAAGAGTTGATGATGTAAAAAGTGGCTAGCTGTAAACTACAGGAAGATATCAATGGGCTGTCTGCATGCTTGTCTGTCTATCATGCCACCCCACTGGACAATGACAAAACGCTGGTCTGCAGTGGGCTCTGAGGACAGTGTAGTGGGGACTTAGAGAGTTTGGTAAGTGAGATGTGGCTCTGGGCAGGTAAGCTGTCCGGCCTGGTGTTTAGATATTGACTGGGGAAAGAAGTGACTGGGGCTGCTTGTGTCAGCTGTGTTGGCCAGGCCAGCTATGTGCTGTAAGTAGTGTGATTTGGGGTTGATGTGCCATTACCTTGTTGGTGAAGAGCAATTCGACAATGTCAATGCTTGGCCAAGTGTTCAGCTAGGAGTTAAAGATGGTGCTGGTTTCAGCAATGACCTATTCTGTGTTATCCAGTGAGTGGCAAGCTATTCTAGCTATGGCAAGTGGTAGAATTGTGCTAGTATTGGACAACAAGGGTGTCGATAGGGTAGGGAGGTGGTTAATGAGGCAAGCTTGGGACAAAAGGGCAAGAAATCGCACTAGGCCTCATGAAGACAAACTGTCTGTGAAACTTGACAAAATTGAAGCAGACAAAATATCATAAGATTCAGCCTGACTTCTTTCACTTCACCTTTGAATAAGGTCTTCTTCCCTAACATATTCCTTACATAACTTGGGGTCACATTTTTTTCTTGATCAATGGGATGTAAGTCTCTTGTATGGTCCACATATTAATGCCCATCTATTACTACTATCTTGAATCACTACAGTTCTATGTTGGTAAATGCAGAGTGGTGTCAGGGAAGGAATTCCTGCATTTTGGTAAAGCCCTAGTTAAATGATTTGGAAAGTTTAGCAATATTAAAGAGGCTATATAATGAAGTTGTTTTTCTTCTTATTGTTCTTGTCTATGCAACCATGTGATTGCTCATTGGCTTGCCTGACTCTTCTGTGATCTGTGATCTCACTTGTACAGGAAATACCTGGCAGCGATCAGAAGTGGAAATCTGAGGTGATCTTGATTCCCTTCTTGAACCTTGAGAAAATTTAGAGCCTCTTACCAAACCACAAGCAGGCAGCTCCAGGACTTCCACTTCTGGATGGCACTACCCAGTAAGCTATGGCATCTAAGAAAAAGTAACCTCAGGTATGAGTGTAGTTACATAGAACATTGCTATGTTTACCTTGAAGTTTCCATTGTGTTCACTGTAGAGTGGCTGGAAAAAATTAGCCGGGTTTGGAATATGAATCCATACCTTATTCACAATGCTTGAAATGGACAAAAAATTAAAACAGCAATTAACACATTCAATTTACATCATTTGGATAAAAGACATTGTATATTCATTAAATACCAACAAGGTTGGAAGATGAAGAAAAGGTTTTCGTATAAGAAACATGCAAATGAGAGAAAACATCAAGTCATCAAAACAGATAGAGAGAATGAGAAACAATGTTCTGCACAATGTGGCTAGAACACAGGATCCCTTCCCACAAAGAGTGATGGAAGTTAAGTCATTCATTGAGAAAATTAGAGGATAACTTTCAAAGGAAAAATATTAAAGAGAAAGAGCTGGAAAGCAACACAAGATGGCTGATATGAAGGGGGTGAGGGGAGTGGAATTACTTTCCCCCTTTCTCCTCTCCACTCAGTTGCCTGAAACAAGATATGTTTTAGAAGGAATATTTGAAATGTTGTGTGTTGTAATTTTCAATTCTAAATATGAAGGAAGCTTTCACATAAGTTTAAATCAAAAGGAGGGATAATGTATATTTACTCAACACGTAATGAAACATCTCACTATCTCATTGACACAGAGCAACATGGGTAAAGATGGATTCTAGAGGCAAGGTTTTATGCGATTCACAAAATAAAGTACAAGAAGTAAATCACTTGTTCAAATCTCAGTTGTTTAAAAATGCACATGTATAAAGCAGGCCTAGACAGGTGCTGATTTGTCGTTCTTTGGATGAATGAAAGTTGACAGCCTCTTGGTTACGAGATGAAGTTATGGCCAAGTTTCACAGAGGTGAAACTTTGCAGTTGGAAACAAATTAGTCCCTTTCACTGCCTGGGTGGTTGGTTGTTGGGCAGTGTTCTGTGTGTTTTGCTGCAAGATAGTCAAATCTTCTAAGTTAAAAACTGATCTATCCCTTTCAATTTCTGAAAGAAAAAGAATTTGAGATCTGGAGTTGGTTTTGATCAACTAAACTCTATCATGCTATTTTCGCCACTAGCCATGTAACTGGTTTGATATGAGAAGCCACTGCTGCACAATAGGATTTTAACGTGGACCGTTGAGGGTTTTTTTCATTCATTCACAGGATGAGGGCATTGTTGGCTAGGCCAGCATTTATTACCCATCCCTAATTGCCCGGAAGCAGTTAAGAGTCAACCACATTGCTGTGGGTTTGCAGTCGTTATGTAGGCCAGACCAGGTGAGGAGGGCAGATTTCCTTCCCTAAAGGATATTAGTGAGCTAGATGGGTTTTTCCAACAATCGGCAATGGATTCATGGTCATCATTAGACTCTTAATTCCAGATTTTTTTTATTGAATTCAAATTCCATCATTTGCTATGGTGGGATTCAAACCCGGGTACCCAGAACATTATCTGGGTCACTGGATTAACAGTCCAGTGATCATACCTCTAGGCCAGTGCCATCGTTGAATATATTTTGAGCAGAGATAGAAAGATTTTTTATTCTCTCAACGAGTAAGGGATATGGGGAGTGGGTGGAAAAGAGGAACTAAAGCCTATGATCCGACACGATCATATTGAATGGCAGAGAATGGTCAGTGAACCATATGGTCTTCTGCTGTTATTTCAGATGTTCTTGTGAGACCAAAGTAAAGAGCTGTCATGTGATAGAAGCTCTAGAACTAGCATGATGTGCTGAATGGTCTCTGTTGTGCTGTGATTTGTGCATTTTTAAACATTCTGATGTGAACAGTCACTCAATATGAGGAGGCTGTTACTGGATTCAAAAAAGCATGGGAATAAACTATCAGTGGTTCCAGTGACACTGGGATAGATTGTTATCGGTTACAGTGAGACTGGGAAAAACTGTTACTGATTCCAGTGATAACGGGAAAGAACTGTTGCTTGGTCCATTGACATTGGGATGGACTATTACCATTTACAATGAATACTGGGAAAAACTGTTACTGGTTAAAATAAGAATTGTGATAGACTTTCTGGCTCCAGTGGCACGAGTGAGACAGTTACTAGCTCCATTGATAATGGAATGGGCTGTTACTGGTTACAAATAGCATTGAGATTGTCAATTATTGGCTCCAGTCTATAGCTGCAGAGATGGCTATGGGTCAAATTATATAGACTTACCGTATGTGAATCCTGAAGTACAGAAGTATGGAAATGATGACAGCCAATGAGATTGGAAACAGCACTACAAACAACAGGCTACTCTGTTTGGAAGGACTGTCCATTGCTTTAAAGGAGAGAACAGAAATAAAATTTATTGTAGAGATAGGTCATGGGCCAGCTTCACAAGACAGAATATTTTAACTGGGGGATTAGAGGGAAGTTGCAATGAGAAGCGGAATTGTTTATTTTCTTGATACACTCTGTGATTGAGTATTTTGCCTCATATTTCATTTGTGACTTGGGCTGCTACAGTGATGGTTTTGAGAAATTGCAGAGTTCCAAGAAACACTCATTAAATTTAAACTCTAAGTGTCAACATTCTAGCGTGACCTGAAGCACATAATAAAACTTCCTTAACATTGTCCTGTCAAGTACTTCCAGGACAGAAACAAAAAAAAGTACATAGAGGAAAGCTCTACCACTATCCATTTGACCTTCTCAAGGAAGAAACAATACTGGTTAGACAAAGAGTGAAACAATCCTTACATTATATTATATTGTAAATGACAGAACCCTTAGAAACACTAACATTCAGACAGATCTGGGTGTGCAGGTCCATAGTTCCCCGAAAGTGGCAACTCAAGGTGATTAAGAAGGTATATGATATGCTTGCCTTCGTTGCCCGGGGCATGGAGTACAAGAGTTTGCAAAACATGTTGAAACGAGATAAAACTCTTTACGGGCCACATTTGGAGTATTGTGTGCAGTTTTGGTCACCACACTACTAGAAGGATGTGGAAGTTTTGGAGAGAGTACAGAAAAAGTTCACCAGGATGTTTCCTGGTCTCCAGGGCATTGACTATGAGGAAAAGTTGAAAGGACTAGGATTGTTTTCACTGGAAAGACGGTGGCTGAGAGGAGACCTGATAGAGGTCTACAAAATTTTGAGAGGCGTAGATAGTGTGAATAGTTAGAAACTTTTTCAGAGGGTTGAAGTTTCAATTACAAGGGGCACAGATTCAAGGTCAGAGGGGGCAAGTTTAAGGGAGATGTGCGAGGAAAGTTTTTCACGTAGAGAGTGGTAGCAGCCTGGAATGCACTACCAGAAGATGTGGTGGAAAAAGGCACATTGAATACATTTAAGAGGCACCTAGATAGGCACATGAATAGGGAGGGAATAGAGGGATACGGATTGAAAAATGACAGGTTTGTTTTTAGATTAATTAGGGCACGATGGTTGGCACAGGCTTGGAGAGCCTGTTCCTGTGCTATACTTTTTCATTTGTTCATTATTCCAGCATGAGTTAGATACAGAGTAAAATTATCTCTGACAGTATTGTGAAGGTTCCAAGGTGTAGAAAGGAAGGTGTAGAATGTGTTAAATACAAGATAAAGTTTATACAAACATACAAACTAGGAGCAGGCCAATTAGCCACTCAAGCCTGCTCTGCTGTTCAGTAAGATCACAGCTGATCCGATTGTAACCTCAAATCCATATTCCCACCTGCCCCAAAAACTTTTCACCTCCTTGCTTAACAAAAATCTATTTACCTCTGCCCTAAAAATATATAGGAATTTTGCTACCACCATCTTTCCAGGTCAATGGTACCAAAGACTCATGACCGTCTGAGAGAAAAGAAATTAGCCTAATCTTTATTTTAAAAAAGGGAAGCCCTGAATTTTTAAATAGTGATCATAGTTCAGGATTCACCTACAAGAGAAAATGCCTTCTCCATGTCTACCCTGTCAAGTTAGCTTTGCAGGGTCCGTCATTAATAAATTATGTATTTTGCAATGTCATGACCCCATTTAATTTATTTAATTGCCTTTTGCTGTCTTGATTACTGGCACCCTGGACCCAAAACCCAGGACCAAGCTCCCAATACACAAACTGAGCTCATTGCCTAGGATTTAGGTGGTCAGTCAATGCACTGCAGGACTATGTGATTTAGTCATTTTTGCTTCATGGTATAGGAAATTTTTTATTTATTCATTCATTGACTTGAGCATTGATGGTCAGGACAGTATTTACTTCCCAACTGCTGCAGTTCATGGTATTGGTACTTGCACAGTACCGTTAGGGGTAAACTCCAGGATTTTGACCAAGTGACAGTGAAGGAACAGTGATGTATTTCTAAGGTGGGATGCTTTATGCTTTGGAGGGAACCAATGGAGGTGTTCAGATGCACTTACTGCTTTTATCCTTCCAGGTGGTATAGGTACCAGGTTTGGAAAGTGCAGTTGAGGTAACCTCAATGCTTTGCTGCATCTTGTAGATGGCACACACTGCTGGCACTATGTTGATGGTGGAGGGAGGGTGACTCTTTAAAAGGTGGATACAGTGTGAATCAAGTGAGGTGCTTAGACCTGTTCTGTGTCCCTAACTGTTGTTGGAGCTGCATTCATTGAGGCAAGTGGAGAATCTTCCATTCTGCAGGCTTCGATGTTTGCACATTTTTAGCCACATGACCTGCTGTATTCTGTTAAATGTCTATTCACTAACACACTGAAAAGCTCTGGGGTAGTTAAACAGATTTTCAGCATGTTACTAAATGTATACTTACCAGACCTTGGCAGCCATCACTGTATAAAGGGGGCGTGACTTGCCCTCTGACTGATGATTCAGTGCTATGTGAAAGCCCTCTGATGGACAATCGCTCCACAGTTTTGAAGAGGCTGGCATTGGATTACCCCAGAACTACAAATCTCCATCAGTGAGCAAAGAAAGTAGCAGAGAATGGCAACCCAACAACTGCTACTCCATTGATCATAGATCATAGATCATAGAATCCCTGAAGTGAGGAAACAGGCCCTTCGGCCCAACAAGTCCACACTGAACCTCAAAGCATCCCACCCAGACTCACCCTGCTATAACCCACTTAATCTACACATCCCTGAACACTACGAGCAATTTAGCATGGCCAATTCACCTAGCCTGCACATCTTTGGACTGTGGGAGGAAACCGGAGCACCCGGAGGAAACCCACGCAGACATGGGGAGAAGGTTCGGACTAGAGAAACTTACAGGGACAGATGCAGCAGCAATATATAGAAATGAAGGAGAAAGGGAACAGAGAACGCAGCAGTGAATGACAGACAAACAGAATATGGGAAGAACACGGATTTTTATAGAGAAACTGTTAATTGAGTGTTTAGTTTTATTCAGCTGATGGGCTTTAACTGGACAGTCAATTGTGCTCCTATGTATGTAAACATACTGAAATTGTGCTTTTTAGGTTAGGGGTAGTGGTGTTTCTTGAAACAAAAATGTGTAAAAATTAAGCTGCAGTCCTGTCTTTCACCATCTGGCTCTCTGTGATAGAAAAGAGTGAATTAAAATGACAGATAAACCAAGTAAAAAACAAAGGAGCAGAAAGAGAGAAATAGACATAGCCAAAGTGAGGGAGATAAATTCAGAGTGAGGGGCCAGTAAGATAGTATTCTAAACAGAATCTCAGCAGCAGTATACTTGCCAGGGTTTGTCTTCCATTTTATTTCTGAGCTCCACTTGCTCCATCTGCCGTTATAGTTGCTATTACTTGAGGGTTTGCTGCGAACCCTTGCTTTATAATTCGTGACGGGTTTCAATTCTGACTCCTCAATAGCCAGATGCCGGATATCATTAACTACTTTTTTAACCTTCACATCCTGCTAAGGAGAAAAGAGATTCACACAGGATGTAAGATGGAACTTAACATAATGTAACATCTCTAAACAGAAAATGTGAATATCATAAGTTAGACATTTTCAGACAATGTTAGGAGGTTTGTTCCAAGTGAAAAATTTACAGAGGCACAGGAAAATCAAATGTAAACCTAAAAGAAGGTCAAACAAAGCTAAAAACTACACTGACAAGGTGGGAAATGATCTAATAAGTGGCAGGTGGATTTCTATATCTTTTAGTCTGAAGTAATAAACGTACAATTGAAAAATATCGACAATGACACTCCTAGGGTATAGAGGTTTTTAAGGCATATTTACCAGGTTGCTGCTTGGTATGAAGGAACACAAGTAAGTCTTGAAAAATGTTTTTGTTTGCGTTATGCAAATTAAGGGGTGACATAGCAGAATTTTAAAAATTATTACATGATGGTGTTCCCACTTAACTGGAAAGAATACATTGAAAATTGTGTCCCACTGTTCCACAAGTCATCGCAAAGTGTATAAAATCTCAAATAGCCTGTCAAAATGACCAATTTGCCTGACTATTCAGGACTCAGTAACAGAAAAATAACTATTTACTGCAACATACTTAACTTAAACAACAGAAAAGAGGAGGTTGTAGCCTTGCTCGCCGAGCCGGTGTGTTTGATTGCAGACATTTCGTCACCCGGCTAGGTAACATCGTCAGTGCGCTTCCAGTGGAAGAACGTTCTGAGGAAGGGTCACCGGACCCGAAAAGTTAACTCTGTTTTTTCCTTCACAGATGCTGCCAGACCTGCTGAGCTTTTCCAGCAACTTTGTTTTTGTTCCTGATTTACAGCATCTGCAGTTCTTTCCGTTTTTATTTGTTATTTATATGCCTCGGTTTGCCAGTGATGCCAAACACCCCAGCAAACACACTAGGTTGGCGAGCGAGGCTACAACCTCATCCACAACCTGAGCTACAAATCTTCTCAAAAACTTCAAACAGAAAAGAGGATTCCTTATCTACTACTATGAAACTTTAATTACACCACTTCAAAAACTCGAAGTACGTACACTGGATCAATCATGATGAAGATGATCAAAAGACAAATGTTTTAACATATATACTTTGGGTGGTAAAAGAATATAGATCAGGCAAAAATAATTCTTAAATTCAAAAGTCCATGCCACAAGGTGGAAATTTATTTTTATCACAGTCTTTTTGATCTTAGCAATGATGAGACATTATTATCTGTAACGTGACAGTCACTCTTGGATTCAATAGTTGATCAGTGGACCTAGTTCCTTTTTTGTTTTAGAATTCTTTCCTTTGTATTGGTTTTCCTGACCTTTCCACACATGTGAGAGAGAAAGAGAGAGAGATGAAGAAATGGATGTTTTCTGTTTGCAGGTTCTGAATGGTTCTCTCTCTGCTGCCCTGGCACTTACACATTTTAACACTCTGCAACTCAACTAATTATCTGGCAGAATTCTTTAACTCAAAAGACTCTTGATGCAGCTTAATTTCGAATTCTCCCACTCACTGCTTCCTAAAGCAATATTGTATGCACAGTGCAAAGGAAAACAGAGCTTGATTTTCAAGTTGCAAAAATCTCATGGTATTTCAGTTATTATGTAGCAGTCTAATCTCCAGTTCAGGTTATGGTCTTAAAATAGAAAATACATGGTCTCTAACAACAGTTAAGGGTCGATATAAGCAGACTGTTTCCAGTGATTGAGAGTGACCTGACAGAAGCATGTCAATCCTGACCTCCAAAGTAAAGCATTGAAGGGCTGAATTGCTGTTTGAGTTGGTCCAAAAGCAGCATGATAATGTGGTGAGACTGGTGATTTGTCAATGTCAACTTGTGTAAATGAAGGGTCAAGGAGGATGATGGCCGTGCAGCATGCAGGGATATTGTACTGAAGTCACAGTTGGATGATGACCAGGACACGCAGTTGGAAAGCTGCAGCCGCCAGTTATCTGCTCTGACTTGTGTGTCAGGAATTTGCACTGTTTTGTTTCTCAGGGAAGGAGAGGAGAGTTCAGAACGGCATATAAATGAGGCAAATTGGGAAATGCAAATAGTTGGAAATAAGCTGGTTGTCATTTAATAGTAATATTCTGAAGTTGCCATTTAAAGGAAAATTGCAAAATATTTTCTTGATAATTAGATTCTGAGTTTTTTCATTTTTGTCATATTCCCCCAACTTTTTCACCATTGTTCAAGCCATACCTGGGGAGAAAAATTTTTACCCCAGGTGAATCAAAAAAATAGAGCAAATGAAGTAAAGCAATATAACCAGTTTCAGAAGGATGAAGAGCACTTAACATATCAGGTAAATAAGTGGCAGATACATGGATTTTAAAAAATTGCAGAATAACATAGTAGAAATTTCTAATTTTTGTTCCTTAGGAGCATCCAGGTCCCTTGGAATAAACACTGATTAGGGGACAGAGTCAGAGCTAGTAAGAACTGTTGATGCTGGAGTCTGAAATAACACAGTGTGGAGCTGGAGGAACATGGTAGGCCAGGCAGCATCAAAGGAGCAGGAAAGCTGACATTTCAGGTCGAGACCCTTCTTCAGAAATTTTTTTGAAATTTTTTCTGAAGAAGGGTCCCGACCTGAAACGTCAGCTTTCCTGTTCCTCTGACGCTGCCTGGCCTGCTGTGTTCCTCCAGCTCCACACTATTATTTTAGGGGAGAGAGTGACATTTTGTGCAAATCTTTCTCTATTTTCCAACAATCATGTTGGATAATTTGCCATGTGTAATGAATGAGAATGTGGGGTTTTATTATGTATTGAGTGTGGGCATTGGTGACAAAGCTAAAATTTATTATCTCCCCTTAGCTGCTGATCATGTGACAAAAGTGCTCCCACGGTGTTTTTCTTTAGGAAGTTCTTGAATTTAGACCCAACTAACAATGAAGGAATAGCAATTTATGTCCAAATCATGTTAGTACTGTCTTGAAAGAAACATGAAGATAAAATGCTATGCACAGCTGTTTTTGTCCTTTTAGGTGATAAATGTTGTGAGTTTGGGTGGGGCTGCTGAAGAAGCCTTGGAAAGTTGTTGCAATGTATTCTGTTTACAGTATTGAAATTGCATTGTGTTGATAGTGGATGGAATGGATGTTGAAGCTTCTGGGGCTATAGAATGGAATCTATGTGGGTACTTTGTGGGATGGTGATTGGCGCTAAGTAGAAGTGAGAGTCACTCACCTCTTTTGTTTCTCTACTCCAAAATTCTAGTTCATGCTCCAGATAGGTTCTCAAATACTCGCTTGCATTGTTCTGCCATGTGATGTTTACTTTCCGTGTGGTGGAATTAACTGTCACAGACAGTTGCTGAGGAGCTTCTAACTGTACTACAAGATAAGAGTTGTCCAAGAGTTAGACAATGAGATATCACATGTTGTTATAAGAAGAAGGTAATATCCTGTTCAGAATGAAATGGAGAAAAGTTAACTCATGTATTATGGGAAAAATTGATAACGCTGAGAGCTAAAACTCTTCCTATTTCAGTCAGATACCTCCAGAGAGCACTTTACACACAGAAGTATGGTGTATCTCTACAAAGCTAATGGTGTGCCATTATGGAAACAGTGACCTATTAATTACACAGGTGGTATGGAGGGAGTACCCATTTCAATACACACTTTTATGGAGAAGTTACCCCTTTTGTTCTACACATTTGCTGCAATGGAGAATGCTTCTTTAAGTACGCAATCAACACTTACTGTTTTGAGAAGGTTTGAATTCCTCAATGATGTAAGTTTGTGATGTGTTAGCTTGGCTGTTTGACTCAAGGATGATTCTAAATTTATCCATACGAATGAACATCTGGAAGTACATGACACAAGTGTAGTAGTGAACCCATCTCTCGTCCTCCATTGGCTGCATGGAACTTCTTGTGAAAGTACAATTATTTTGGTGAGAAAAGCTGTTTTTCACAATCCTGTTTGGAAATGGATTGATTAAAAAACATGAATCCATCAATGCTCATAATATGGCCCAGGCCATTTGCGGCCACCCACCCATCAATTTCAGTCACTGCCTCCACCATGAAGCACTTTAGCTGAAATGTGTGCTGTCTATAGGATTTACTGCAGCAATTCACCAAGACTTTTTCAATCACACTGCTCAAGCCTCTACCACTCAGAAGGATAATTTCTGCAGACGTTCAGAAGGTAAACTGCTTCATGTCCTTCTAAGTTTCGTTCATTTCCTCCCTGGCTGTGCAGTTTGACCAGGTGATTCACTTCAGTCTTTTTATCTTGTTCTCCAGTAAAAGATAAAATTATGGTATTGGATACAGGATTCACTTCCCATACGGCATGTGATCAGGTACCATTAAATCCAATTACTGTACTGTTTTGGCCTGAATGTTGGGAAATTGCAGAACTAACGAGACAACTAGGGGTTGGATACAGAGTAAAGGTCCCTCTACACTGTCCCACCAAACATTTCTAGGTCATGTGCAGCATGGGTTAGATACAATGTAAAGCTTCCTCTATACTGTCCCATTAAACACTCTCGGGTGTGTGCCGCTCGGGTTAGATACAGTTTAATGTTCTTTCTGAACTGTAGTGTCACACACTCCAGGGGTTGGACAGAATGCGTTAGCTACAGGATAAAGCTTCCTTTATAGGAGTGAGTGGGGAAAGTGAGGAGGACCATACATTGGCTCTAAACATTTAAACTGAAATATGGTAGGGCGGCAGCAAAGAGAGGTTAATGACGTGGGAGAAAACAAATTGCAGAATGACTTCACAGTACAAGGAGGTACATGATATTTGAAGCTGGCACGCAATCTAAAATCTTAAGGTAGGCTGACTTAAAATTGTGTGCCAGTGTTCTTCCATTCAAATGTATGTTATGTTCTCGCTTTGCGTCTCCATTTCTAAAATAGAAGAAATTGATCTATGCCATTTCCAGGTTGACCCAGAGGTGATTAATTACATAGAGGCTAGTTAGCTTAGGTAGGGTATGCCTAAGGAATTTCTCTGTTGTATCAAAGAATCGGCCCTTGAATGTTACGTCGATAACATCAGCATCAAGGAAACTTTCAGTATGTGAATGAATGGGCTAGCCTTTGATACAAATATTGAACAGGAAGGGCATGTGAAAATTATCTTGAGGTGAGCCATCTTTCCATCTGGACCATCAGCTTTGCTGGTCATTTAGGTCACCAAAACAACATCTGTTGGCCAACACTTTGCTTATCAATCTGGTATCAGCTCAGTCAATCTGATATCTTTTGTTTCACAGAATAATTTCTGTACAAGACCAGCAGTTGGCTGTCGGTGCCAGCCAATGTGTGCACTATTGGGATTGTGGGTAGGTGGATGCCAGAGGAGGAAGTTGTGTTGGAGTGGTGTCAGACAAAGGTGTTATCATCTTGAAGGGTCTGATAGGGATGCTTGAGGCTAAAATGGATGATTTTTTTTGTGGGGTGGGAGCATTGCGTTTGAAAACAATTATAAATGGGCCCTCAAAGCTGATTTTGAAATTGGAAGTCAAGTTTCAGGGGTTGGATTGGAAATCAGGCTGACTGGACCAACTGTCACTTTGCATCAGCAATGTCATTTGGAAAATGATAGCCCCATTGGTGTTTATCAAAGTAAGCCTCACCAAAAAATGCAGCAGCTTCCAAAACCGAAATGAAGGAATTACAACGTCTAATTAGACAGCTGAATTGGCTTGGCACACAAACAAGGTCAGATACTAGTTTTACGTCTTTAAAGTTAATTGCAACTATGACAAATCCCAAGATGAAAGATAGTATTTGGGTGAACAAAACATTTGTAAAAAATTGAAAATAGAGCATTATTTTGATATATTAATATATATGTATTAATATACAATTATTTTGAAGTTTCCGTCACTAGGAGATGCCAGGAACATGATGCTTGTTGTTTTTAGCCTCATGATTATTCCAGAAAGCAGAATTCCTGCATTGGATCCTTCCAACTTCCAACCTATAATTGCAGAAATTTACCTGGCATCAGGAATCTGATTCGTACTGACACCCAATATCCTAATTCCCCTCATCTTCAATGTCTGCTACAGCAGTCTCAAAGGAATTCTGCGTGTTGGAACAACTTGTTTTGATCCCCAGGATTCCTTACATTCTAGAATGGTGCCTTAAACATAATCCTGCTCTTCAAGAAAGGAAGAGTGGAGAATTCATAAAATTATAGGTATTACCTTAATACCTGTAGTAGGAAATTGCTGGAAATCTATTAGGGACATGGTAGCAGGATACTTAAAAAATCATAAAGTAAAGGCAAAGTCAACACAGATTTATGACATAAAAATCAAAAGAACTGCGGATGCTGTAAATCAGGAACAAAAACAAAGTTGCTGGTAAAGCTCAGCAGGTCTGGCAGCATTTGTGAAGGAAAAAACAGGGTTAACATTTCGGGTCTGGTGACCCTTCCTCAGAACCACTGGATCCGAAACGTTAACTCTGTTTTTCCTTCACAGATACTGCCAGACCTGCTGAGCTTTTCCGGCAACTTTATTTTTGTTATAGATTTATGACAGGTGCATTGTGTTTGATAATTCTATTAAGTGTTTTGAGATATGAAACAAGGGAGTTTTGAGATAATGATTTTGTTGTGGGAAAGCCATTCAATTGTGTGTAATAGCCCTTCTGGATATAAAGAGATAACAGTTTTGAGATAGTGATTTGGTAGTGGAAAAAGCAGTTCGGTTGTCTGTGATAGTACTTCTGGATGTATAAAAAAGGAGTTTGAGATTCTAATAAATAGTTAAGAAAATGAAGAACCAATGGATATAGTGTATTTGCTTTATGTATTTTGTATTAACAAAATTATGACTCCTTGGAAAAAATACAATAAATTTATATGAGTGGTGGATTGATGCATGGATAGAAAACAGGAAATAAGAATAAATGGACCATTTTTGGGTTGTCAGCCTGTAACCAGTTGCGTATTAAAAACATCAATTTATGATTCTCTGCTTTTATATTCTATATCACTGGCTTAGTTGAGTGCATTCAGTGTAATATATTTGAGGTTGTTGATGATACAAAATTAGGTGGAAAACTAAGCTCTTATGGGTATGTAAGAAGGTTCCAGAGGAATATAGGCATATTATGGTAATAATGTCGAGGTGGAATATGGTATGGAAAAATGGGAAAGTATCCACTTTAGTAGGAAGAACAGAAAAACAGAATATTTTTAAAAGATAAGGGACAATGAGATGTTGGTGTTCAGAGGGATCTGGGTGTTCTTGTACAAATTGTGGAAAGTTAACAGACTGGTACAGCAATCAATGAAGATTGTGAATGGTTTCTGGTCTATGGTAGATTCCCAGGATGTTGACCATGGGGGATTCAGTGATGGTAATGCCATTGAATGTCAAGGGGCAGTGGTTAGATTATGCCGAATTGGAGATGGTCATTGCATTGCACTTGAATGGCGCTAGTGTCACTTTGCAGCCCAAGCCTAGATATTGTCCAGGTCTTGTTGCTTTTGAACATGAAATGCTTCAGTATCTGAGAAGTAGGGAATAGTCTTGAACATTGTGAAATCGTCAGTGAACACCCCCACTTCCATGATGGAGGGAAGGTCATTGACGAAGCAGCTGGAGATTGTTGGGCCTAGGACACTACCCTGATGGACTGCCTATTCCCTAGATTGTAAAAGTATGTGGCGTGAACTTATGGAAACGTACATAATTTTTAAGACTTTTAATAGAGTCAGAATGAGTTCAACAATAGAGTTGAATTTCAGAGATGAGCAGAGCATGAGTGCACCTGACATCAAGGTCACATGTGACTTAGTGTTGCATTAAGGAGCAGTAGCAAAACTAGAATCAATGGGAATCCAAGAGAAAGGTCCCCAATGGTTGCAGTTCCACCAAGTACAAAGGAAGATGGTTGTTCTTGTTCTAGAACAGTCATCACAGCTCCAAGGCATCTCTGCAGTAGTACATCTTCAGCTGTTCCATCACTGAATTTCCATCCATCATAATTGGGATGTTCACTGATGATTGCACAATATTCAACATAATTTGCAATTCCTCAGATATTGAAACTGTCTGTGACCATGTGCGGTAAGACGTCGACAATATCTGGGCTTGGGCTGACAGGTGGCAAGTAACATTTGTGCGATAGAAGTACCTGGCAATGACCATCTCCAACAAGGGAGAGTCTAACCATTGCCCCTGAAATTCAATGGCACTACAATCACTGAATCTCCTACTATCAATATCTTGGGTTCACCATTGCCTAGAAACTGAATTGTACTAGCCATATTGACACATTGGCTACAAGTGCAGGTCAGAGATTAGGAAACCTGCAGCGAATAGCTCACCTCCCGATTCCCCAAAGCCTTTC